ATCTCTTGACCTCGTGATCCACCCGCCTCGGCCTCCCAAAGTGCTGGGATTACAGGCGTGAGCCACCGCGCCCGGCCTTCTTTCAACTTTTATAAGAAACTCCAAGAAGTCTATATGGCTCATTTTAAAGTCGCTGGGCATTCGGGCAACCACCCACAGATATTTAATGACTGTTTGGAGGGAGGGCACTGTTCTAGGCCCTGAAGGCACAAAGATCAGTAGGACCCACTTCCTTTCCTAGGGAGGAGCCTCAGACAGACCGATATTCACAATTCAGCCGGGCACGTGGCAAGGCCACCCAGAGATTGAGAGGACAGGAGGGCATTTCAGAGCAAGGCTGCATGGTGTGCCAGGACAGAGGCAGGGGTATTTTGGGTGCTTAGGGGGAAGGCAGGCTGTATGGGAAGAATGGCCACACACTCCCCCTTTAGGGTGTGAGGTTCATTGGGAAAGATACGTAAGCTCTAAGGGTGAGAAGCTGGCTATGTATTTGCCCTGTAGACTGAGAACCTTCTCTGCCAGACCAGACAGGGGGTGGGGCTGGGGGTGCATTAGAACTTGGACAGAGGCCCCGCTTTCCTGGATGGGTGGACTGTCCAATGGAAGAGACAATGATAAGACAAGCATTCACAGATTCCACGCCCCTCTCACACCCACCTGCTCCCCTCCCCCCACCACTGCTGCTAGCGCGAGGTACTCAGGAGCCGGATGGAGCCCGGGAATCAAACTCTGGTCCTTGGTGGGGGGAGGGGCAGGCTCCAGCTCCCGGGTGGGGTGTGGTCTCCAGGGATGGCAGCCTCAGCCCCGGGGATGAGGACTGCACCCCTTTCCTCTTTCTCCTTCAGCGTGGTCTTCTCAGGGGATGATCCTCTGACTTCTAGACTGTTCCCCACCACCCTCCAGTGGAAGCCCCTAGGCAGGGGCCTAGAGAGGAGGGCTCCAGAGGCCTTTGGTTTCCACGCATCTGGGAGACCGGGGGTGGGCTGTAAAAGACTCTGGGGTGCCTTGAGCGCTCCTGGAGAGCTCAGCTAAGGCCGGGGCCTGAGTCAGGTCCACGGGAGAGCAGGGCCGGGATGTTGGTGCCTGGTCCAGGAGAAGGGAGGGGGCGATGGGCAAAGGGGTCAGGCCGAGGGAGCAGGCGGGGCATCGGGAGTTGAGGGCGCCGAGTGGGGGTGGGAGGACGAGGGGTCCGGCCGGTGCAGAGGGGGAGGCGGCCCCCGGGGAGGGGCACGCTATGTCTTTAAGAGCTGCCTGAGCGCAGGTTGCAGCTGCCTGGCCAGCCCGAGAGACAGCGGAGATTCATTACCCGCCGACACAATGACCATTGATGGCCCCGTGGCGTTATTCAAATCCAGTACCAATTGCAGCCGAGCCCCTTTCTCCGCGCCAGGCCCGTATTGTTGGAGCGGCCCACTAAAAGCCCGCCCCGGCCCCGAGCCGCCAGAGGCGCCCGCTCGGGTTCAGCCCTGCGCCTCGCCAGCCCGCCGGCTCCCAGTCCGGCTCCCCGGGCGCTGCAGGTGACCCGGCGGCGCATTCCAGCACTCCCCGCCGCCCGGGCCACCGCCGCCACAGCCACCGCCGGCGCCCCGGCCGCGACTCAGCCACAGGAAAGCGGAGAGCGCCCGAGCCGGTGCGTGCGCGGGGCTGGGCGGGGGCGGGGGACCCACGAATCCAGCAGCCCGGACCCGGGGCTCGGAAACGCGACCCGGCCTCGGGCTCCTGCCTTCTGGATTTCCGGAGAGCCCAGGCTGGGGGCAGGGAGAGGGGAGTCTGGGTTCCCCAGGCCTGACAGAGGAGATTCCCCCCGACCTGGGGCGGCGCTGAGACCCAACGCGGGCCACTCCGGGGACTCCGGGCCGCGATCGAAGGAGCCACGCCTGGGGCGATGGGGATCCCCGCGCAGGGTCGGGATCCGCGTGCTTGCTCGTTCACCTTACCGCCGGATGGGCAACCGCTGCTGAGCGCCTGCAAGGTGGTCCGACGAGCAGCTCCTAGATGTCCTGGTCTAGCGCTTTTTAGGAGCGAAGCGGAACCCTGCAGGAGACCAGGGCCCTGAACTCAGGGGCTCCGCCACTGATTGTCCAAACGCAATTCTTGTAAGAGTCTGCGGCCAACCGAGAATTGTGGCTGGACATCTGTGGCTGAGCTTCGGGCGCAACAGGGGCGGGGGCCACAGGGACGGAGCTCAGCGCGGGCGAGACCTCTCGGGGCGGCGGCTGGCTGGCCCCAGCTAGAGGATCGCCGCCCCGGCCCGCGCGCACCGGGACGCCGGTCCCTGCCACCAGCGCCGCCATCCGCATCCTCGTCCTCCTTCCTTCTCTTCCTCCTCGGAGGATGACCAGTACCGGCCGGCGGGGTCCTCTAGTCGATCGCGTGGTTTTTCCTTTCAAATTTCGGCCGGAACGCAGCCGGCACGCAGCGGCGGGGCCGAAAGTGGTCCGCCCTCAGCCGGAGCCGCAGGAAGTCGGGGGTGAAAGAAGAGGCTGGCGCAATGCGCCCGCTAACTCGTTTCGCATTTGTTCTAACTTATCACCCCAATACTCCTACCTAAACAAAACAAATCCTCAACCAAGCCCTAAATCCCAAACAAATCAATCCCTCCCGAAAGCCCCTCAGGACGGACTGGTGGGCTGAGCCTCCTCCAGCCGCTGCCAGGGTCCGACAGCCAAGCGTCGCCAACGATGCGCTCCAGCCGGGCAATCACCTCGGCTTTGGAAACAGAACTTGGAAAAACGAATCCTTTTCATTAAAGAAAAATCTTCGGAGATAGCGGGGTTTTATTCGTTTATTTCCTCAAAAGCAGGGATCAGGAGCTGCTTGGGAGAGGGGTGGCTGGGAGTCGCTCAGGGCTGAGTCCAGGTCAGCTGTCCCCCGACCCCTTTCCAGCCTGGGGCTACAAATGACCTGAAATCGTCTGGAGAGCCTTGGCCATGGCCAATTTCAATCACAGTGCTTGCACCCGCATGTGCCAACAAATCCGGTTTTCCCAGCGCCTCCTCCGACACTACTCCTCAGCATTAATTGGGGTGTGGTGGGAGAAGGGATATCCCGCATCTATCACCCCTTCCACTCCTTGCAGGCAGGGAAAGGGATCCTAGTGCTCAGTTTCCAGGACTGGCAATCTGGGGTGTTCCAATCAGGTGCACTGACGGGCCACTTCTACAGCTCAGAGGGCTGGAGATGGGGAGGGACCTCCAGGTTACACGCATCGGACAGGCTGACCTAAAAGTGCAGCTGTGAGGGGCTGTTCCAAGTCTCTTGGTCCGTTCCCTAACACGGACACCCCGACCTCAGCCCCTAGTGAGGGTTGGTCATATAGCCTTTCTGGACAGACCCCAACACTGGCCTTAATTTGCACCCAGACCAGCTCCTCCCCATAGTCCCAACATAGCTGCTCCTACTTCACACAAGCCCAGAGGGCCTCGACCTGGAGTAGTGCTGGAGAAAAGCCCACCAGCCAGTGGGTCATCTATCCCCAAAAGAATGATGTGCACACCCTGTCCCCTAACACTGCTGGGACAGCCTTTTGGCACTTTCATCTCCACAGGGTGAGAAATTCCACCTTAAATTATTGACATTGAATGAAAAGCAACATTTCGGGTGGGATGCTTTTGGTAGGTTAATGTTAGTGCCCAAATTCTCTTTTGGGTTCTACCTCCAGCAAACAAAGCTCTTTTCTTCAGGTCATGGGAAGGAACGACCATGGAAAGGGGGGCTCAGCAGTCTCATCTATGCCACCCCCATTCTGGGTTCTGAGGCTGCTGGCTGCAGCTGGTGGGACAAAGCCTTGGACAGGCGGGTGGGAATGCGTCCTGGGACCCAGACTGGTCAGCACAGACTGGCTCTGCCACCCCCTTCTCCAGATGGCTCTATTAGACTACCCCTCTCAGATCATCTGAGTGTTCACCCCCACCCCTCTTCTGGGTGAAGGGTGAAGGGCAGCTCTGAGGCCCTAGGCTGAGGATGAAGAGGTTGTATCAAAGACCATGGCTGGGGGGATATGAGGTGCCACCCGTTTCCAAGGATGAAGCTCCAGGCAAGGCTAGTAAACAACCTAGTCTTTTATTTCCCCAAGGCCAGCTGTTGCAAGCACTGAGGCCCCAAGACCTCCAGAAGGGAAGGGGAGGAGGGGCAAACCACTCTGCCTACCAGGTGCTGCCTGCCCCTCCTGCTTCCTGCAGGACGTGGGAAGGAAGAGAAAACGGACATTTGTGCCATCAAGTATCTCCCCAGTTTTCGGCCACTATAAATATTCGGTTGTTGTAGAGGAAGAAACTGAGGCACACAGATCCCCCCAGGCTTCTACTTGCCAGTCCAAGTTTTAACCCACTCCCTCCCCTCATCTCTACCTCCAGCAGAATGAGCTGTAGGCAGCTTAGGGAGCGTCTCAGGAGCCCATCTGGTGGCCTGTGGAGAGGGGGAGGCCAGCCAGGGTCAAGGGCTAGGAGTGGGGGGAGCAGAAGGAAGGGTGTGGCTGGAGGAGCAGCTGCAGGGGGGGCGCTCAGCACGAATAGGGGACCCCAGCTGGGGTTCTATAATGGTATCAGCAGGGGACAGGCAGAGCCCTCAGCTGTCCAGACAGGGAAACTGAGGCTGAGACGCCTCCAATCTTTGGGTAGGGAGGGGCCTCCCTTCAGCTATTCAGGTCCATTTATCTTCCCTGTGAAGACACTGGCTCTGGGACTGGAGCTCCTTGTCAGCGGTCACGCCATGTTTAGGCTGAGGTACAAGGAGCGGAAGGCAGCCAGGTCACCTGGCCACAGAGCCCCCTTCCACTCTCGACAAACCAGAAGGGCACCCTCCCCCACCACAGCTGCTGGAAAAGGGAGTGCTGGGCTGTGGCGCCTGTCTGCCTTCCTCTGCTCACGTGCTTGAGAAAGGCTCATTTTTAGCACCTGGCCTCTTTTCCCTGCCTGGAGGGAGCTTGGGAGACAGGGCAGGGAAGAAGGCAGCCAAGGGGGACAGGGAGACCTGGAAGCAGGGCCCCAGGGGATGTCTGATTGCTTTGTTCTCCCCTGTAAGGGTGCCCAGGCCCAGAGAAGGGCCCTCAGCCGCCATGCAGAGTAGAGATGAAGAGGACGCTGTCCTGGTCCTGAAGCTGATAGTCCAGCTCACCCTGGTGCAGGAGAGAGGGGAGCGAGACTCTCAGGGCCACCTTCCCACTTCTGCCCCAGGAGCTGGGAAAACAGGGGTGAGGGCTGGCTGCTCTGGAAGAGACGGACTCTACCAGAAAAATGGTATCCTGTATCTCAACCTGCAAATCCTCAGGATGGACGGGTGCTCCCATGTCCCCAGCTATCCATCCCTTCCTCGCCTGGGGTGGGAGACTCCAGCAGCCTCAGTGTAGGGCTCGAGTGGGGCGGAGGATTACCCAGCCACTCTATGAGCCTGAGGAGAGGCCCAAGGCTTTCCCACTGAAGCAGCAAGGGCAGGGGATCGGGGAGGGATGTCCCCTGAGGTACTGACCAGTAGCTCCCAGTCGGCATCGTTAATCAGCACCAGAATTCCTGGCCGCCTGTGGGAAAGATGGTGGTGAGTAGTAGGGAGGGAGAGGCAGGAGGCAGTGGCACAGACGAAGAGAGGCTGAGAGCTGAGCTGCAGGAGAGGGTGCTGGGGAGCCTGCCTTCTGGGGTCTGGCTGAAGACCTCCCAGGAAGGGGAGGCTGGTCTGAGTGTAAAGGAAACCAGGTCAGACAGTCATGCATGCCCTTTGTAGCCAGATGAAAAATGGGTGCAATGGTTAGCCAGCACCACCACCCAGACCGTGGGCAGGCCATTCTGTTTCTGAGTATCAGGTTCCTCATCTGAAAATGGGATAAGGGAGAGTGTTTGCCCCACAAGGCCTGTACGAAACGAAATGAGCCGATGTGTGTGGAGTGCTTGCCACACTGTCATGGTAACCATTAGTAGGACCACACTTTTCCAGGGCTCTAACCTTATTCTCGTTAGACCTGGAAAAGACTTCAGCTTATTTTAGGCCTCTGCATGCCTATCCTGGAGAGGAGGCTGTTTTGCCAATTCCAAATCAGTTGCCATGGCACATGGCAATGGTCAAGTGCAGCCCTGCCTGGCATAAGGCAGGGTAGGTCAGCAGGTGGTCAAGCTGCTTAGCCTGGCTCCCACTGGCAATGGCCCAAGAAATGCTGCTGGCCTTGGACGTGGCCTCCAGGACCGCTGGACCATGACCTGAAGCAGGGCTGATCCCCTAGGCCTGATCCCTTGGGGCCTGACAGTGACCTATGCTTGAGGCAAGTAAGTGAGCCTCACAGCTACACTGGTCACCTTTCACATGGGGGGCTGGCCCTGTAACGTCTTAGCAACTGGAACCCGGTCCTTTCCAAGCAGACTGCTCTCAGGTGTCCCCAGTGAGTATGTGCGCACGTGCAGGGTATGTGCGGGCACAGCGTCAATGACTCCTTGGAACTGTAGACCTGTGCTGCACCGTATGGTAATCTACCAGCCACATATGGCTATTTAATTACAATGAAATAAAACAGAGGTATTTAGTTCTTCAGTCACACTAGGTACATTTTCCTCAGCACTTTCTGTGTAGAGAGTAACTGAGGTCCAGAGCAGCGAAGTCACTTGCCTAAGGTCCCACAGCAAGTCTGTGGCAACAAGAGGGCAGAATCCAAGTTTTCTGAGAAATTCACCAGGCTCCCTTCATCTGGGATTTTAACAAATCCTCAAGAGTCCAGTTTTAGTAACAAGAAAACTGAAAATAGATCTCAGACAGAGCTGGACCGAAGCTCTTTTGTCCAAGGAGTCAGAGAGGAGGAAAGGGAGAACCGGACTCAGAGAAGGCTGGGACTGAACCCGAGAGAGGGGGCTCAGATATCCGTCCCTCCCTCCGCCCTCTTCAGGGAAGGAAGGAGTGGGACTCACACGCTGTCTCCCTGGATGAACAACTCTGGCCGCTCTTTTAGCAAATTCTTCTTGATCCAGACGAGCAGGTTCCGGATGTCCCCTGGAGAGGAATGCACAGAACAAACTCTTGTCAAACCCAATGGCACCTGCACCCCAGAGCCTTGCCTGGCACAGAAGGAAATACACATGGGGTTTAGAGGGCTTCTTTTTTTTTCTTTTGAGACAGAGTCTAGCTCTGTAGCCCAGGCTGGAGTGCAGTAGTGACATCTTGGGTCACTGCAACCTCCACCTTCCGGGTTCAAGCGATTCTGCCTCAGCCTCCTGAGTAGCTGGAATTGCAGAAGCATGCCACCATGCCCAGCTAATGCTCAGCTAATGTTTTTTTTTTTTTTAGTAGAGATGGGGTTTCACTGTATGAGACAGGATGGCCTCGATCTCCTGACCTTGTGATCCGTCCACCTCGGCCACCCAAAGTGCTGGGATTATAGGCGTGAGCCACCGTGCCCAGCTAGAGGCTTCTTTTAGACCAGGCTGTGATGGTCCATGAACGTGTAGATTCCAAAGGTGAGGAAACAGGTTAGGACAGGCCAGTGACTTGCCAGATGAATCTTTAGAAAAAGCTGCACCTGGCACTGCTGAAGTCCAGGGGGAGAGGCAATGGGATGTACCTATAATACAGGGATTCAAGGCAGACAGCAGGGAGAACTGTCACATCGAAAGGGTTAGGGGACAGGCCCCTACCCACAAGTCCTGGAAGCCAGTCTGCAACTGCCATGGCTGGACTTCTGAGAGGACCCTGAAGAGCCCCCTCCACCACCTTTATCTCTCCAGCCAGTCCCAGATGGGGAGGATTTGGCTTTGCTCTTGGAGGGGTCTGCATGTATTTCCCTTTGTGAGGGGAGGAAAAACAATTGCTAAGCTGATAACATCAATTAATTTCCTCTGGCAGAGGGAGAGAAGGATCCTTCACCAGCCAGGGCTGCTGACAAATCCCTGCTCCACTCCCCACCACCACCCCATGCTTTCAGAGCCCTCCCCACCAACGGTGGGGGTGGCCAGAGGTTTGGGTGACAGGGCCTCTCCTGTTCAGCTAACACTGAGATCTGCCTCCTTGTGGTTCTGGGGGAGCCACCGGTCCCTCTGTAGGTCATGTGGAGGCTCAAAGCCACCTGTCTCCAGGGTCACCTCTCCTTTCCTAGGGACAACAGTATCAGGCCACAGCACACAGCAGTGTGGCTCTATAAACACCTCGAAGCCTGCCCTCCACCGTCTGCCCCTGAAAGAGACCATTCTCCTGGGGAGACAATTTGCCTCTGGAGTTGTCTCTGGAGCCGCAGAGGGGTTGGGGTTAACCACCCCCATCCCGAGTCAGTGTCCAGAGGGGTCTGCTGTCCTGGACTAATGCCTGAGATGAAGCTTGGTCTGAAGCCCAGAATCCTGGAGTGCAGGCAAGGGAAAGGCTGCTTGGACTCAGGGAGGCTTCACTCTGCCCTGTCTGGGCCTTCGGCATGTACGCACACACAGCCCTAGCCTTGGGCAGGGAGTTGAGCCACACTGGCTGGCACACGTGCCACCGTCACTCTGACAGGCCTGTGGCCTGGACAGTCCATTTTGCTCTGTGCCAACTTGCCTGGATTGTACGCCAGCAGAACACAGGGCCACGGGCAAAGTGTCCATGGACTGAGACTGCTGCCTTTCCATTTTAATGTCTCCTTTTAAACAAAGCAGATCGGAGTCTTCACGGTTTGAGCAGGCAGGGGATGGGGTGAGTGCTGCCTCCAACAAGCTGCAGCCCACTTGGACTCCTGGCTGGGTTCCTCCCTGAGGCCTGGGTTTCAGAGGTTTCCCCTTGGCTCTGAATCCCCTTGGCCTCCATCTTGGCACTGTCTGGTGGGCCGCCAACCCATACATCTTGTGGCCGCTCGATAGAGCCACTAGGGTCTGACACATCAATCAGCCGGCACTGGCGGGCGGGGGTGTTCCCGTGTGTGTGGAGGCGGCAAGAAGGCCTGGGCAGTGCCTGGCCTGCATGGAACCAGGACTCAACTGGGGGACAGCCCCCGCTCCCTCCAAAGGGAAGGTGCTTCTGCTCCACTCTGGATAGGCCTGGGGGTGGGGGAAGGGCCAGTGGTCATGGTGGGGTCATCTGAACGATGGCACCAGCATAGAGTCCCAGAGGGACAGGCTGGGGGATGAGTCTGCTGCCCAGCGTTGGCTCATTTATCATGATGCTCCTATTTGCTGAGGTCACTCCCTCCCTCTTCTGCCCACCCCCCACCCAGGCCTGCCCACATTTTTGATAGCCTGTTACCATGGTGAGGCTACCGCATCACCACCCGTATTGTTCCCCCATGCCTGGATTTGGGGGTGGGGAGAGGGGAACTCATGGCTCCCTTTGCAGGATGCAAGGGCCACTCGGTCTGGGCCTGAAACACACCCCCAGGGACATCTTGCTAGGCTTGCTGAGGCACAGACAATATGCAAATAGTCTCCAAGCCAGATGGTCGGCTTCCAAAGGCGCCCAGGGGAGGAGGAAGGGTTAAACAGAGTCAGGGGCTGGTGGCTTGGGGATGGATGGCTCTGGGATAGATGGGGGCCGGAGACTCTCACTTTCACCTTCCCACTCTGTGTCTTCTTGTCTTCCCATTCCTACTAGGGGTGGTCTCCCTCCTGGGATCCCATGTGATCACTCAGGAGACAAATATTTATTGAGCAGCTACTATGTGCAAGGTGCTAGGGAGACGGTAGTGGGCAAGAGGGACACAGAGCTACCTACCCTCATGGAGCTGGAGGCCAGCAGGGGAGACACACCATATTTAATTAGTTGTGACAAATGCTATGTCCTTCATCTGGGGTCAGGAGAGGCCTGGCTGAGGGTATTAAACAGTGAAGCTCAGGCCGGGCGCGGTGGCTCAAGCCTGTAATCCCAGCACTTTGGGAGGCCGAGGCGGGTGGATCACGAGGTCAAGAGATCGAGACCATCCTGGTCAACATGGTGAAACCCCGTCTCTACTAAAAATACAAAAAATTAGCTGGGCATGGTGGCACGTGCCTGTAATCCCGGCTACTCAGGAGGCTGAGGCAGGAGAATTGCCTGAACCCAGGAGGCGGAGGTTGCGGTGAGCCGAGATCGCGCCATTGCACTCCAGCCTGGGTAACATGAGTGAAACTCCGTCTCAAAAAAAAAAAAAAAACAAAAAAAAAACAGTGAAGCTCAGGTCTGAAGGACGAGTGGGGTGGGCTGGGCAGCATTCTGGGCAGAAGGAAAGCACATGGGAAGGCCTGGGGCAGGATAAAATGGCAGGTTCAAGGTAGCAGAACAGAGAAGGTAAGAAGCTCGCATGAGATGGGGCCAGAGCAGGCGAGGCCTCACAGGCTTTGGGAAGGGGCCTGCTCCTGTAGGGGCCTCTCCCTCCTACTGAACCTGGGCAGTGTCTCCAAAATAGGTGCTCCCTGGGAACCAGGCCCCACTGCCCAGGCCTATGCTTCAGTGTGTGTCTGACCTGACACTCAAATCATGATCCGGCTCAAATGCATGGCATTACCATTACCATCCCGTGAGTGGACAGTTGGGGAGGTAGGGAGGGAAGGAGGAAGGGCGGAAGAGACTAAGAGCATGGACCCTGGATTCAGACAGGCCTGGTTTTGAGCTGGACTCCATCACGTCCTGGTTCTATGACCTTGGGTATGGAATTTTTGGAACCTCAGCTTCCTCTTTTTGTAAAATGGGGATGTTAAGGTTGCCTCATAGGAGCATTGTGGGGGATCAAATAAGATGATCTCTACAAAGCTCTTGTCACTGTGCCCTGCATATCAATGCTGTAATTACTACAGGATCCAGAGGAAGAACCTATACCTCTCCAACTCTCTGGGTTTCCACCTGGTGGCGTGGCACCCCAGCTGTGGAGGGCAGGATAGCGCCAACCATTAATCAGATAGTGCTGAGACTGGCGGGGGTTTTCTGTGGCATCCTCTATCTTCCCATCAGAGGCTGGAAAGGGAACAAGGGGACTGGGAGAGTAGTGAGGAATCCTAGATACTGACTTTCCTTCTATTTTAGATGTTTGAACCCACAAGATGTCAGGGTTGGCCAATGCTCCCAGTACAACCCAGGTGGAAGGAATGACACTCTGAGGCTGTAGGTGCTGGCAGCCAGGCTGCCCCTGGGCACATAGCACCAGAGGAGGGAGATAGGCAGCTAATACAAGGTTTCTGGGGCAGGATGCCTTGGCACCTGGCCTGCCCATTGGGGACAGAGCAGGTGATGGAAGCTGCTGCTCCATGGTGGAGTGGTTGAGTTCTGAGTCCATAGCCAGAGGACCTGGGCTGTGTGCTCAATGCCCTTGGGTGGGAAGTCACTTCACCTTGCTGTCTCAGTGTCGTCCTCTGACAAGCAAGGATAATAATCCAAACACCAAGAGCTGCTGAGGATTACGTAAGGCACAATGCCCAAGGCAGGCCCAGCAGTGTCACACACAGGACACACTCAACAGATGGCTGCTCTGAGCTGTAAGCCCACAGTGACTTCAGATTCCTCATCCTCTGGGCTCCAGCACCTTCTACAGGCTGCTCCCAAAGGGAGCACGCCCACGGTGGAGAGCACCAACGCAAGCTCCACCAGAGTCCCTCGCCTCAGTGGACTCACCCTAGTCTGGGGGACACGGACTGCCCACTGTGGGAGGGCCCCAAAGGGTGTCAGCCTCAGCCTCTTGGGACTGAACGGGAACAACCTCAAAGCTGTATCTGACATTGACTTGCAGGCGTGACAGGCCCTCATCCAGCCTCTTTGAACACCTCCAGGGACAGGAGGTCAGCTCCTCTGTGGAGCGGCTCTGATTGTTAAGAGCTCTTTTCTCCCAAGCAGAAATCTGTCTTCCTGTCATTCCCACCAACTGGGCCTGAATGGTCCAGGGGACCATGCCAACAAACGTACTCCTCTTCCCCAGGATGGCCCTTCGGATTTGGAAGAGATGGATCCCCTAAGTCTTCCCTTCCATAGGTTAAACTGCTTCTGTCCCCAAGTCCACCAGGCTCCAAGACGAGCTCTACTGGGAGCCCACCCCAGGCCTCAGTTGAAAAGGAAAAAGAAAGAGCTGGCAA